ATATATATATATATATATATATATATATATATATATATATATATATATATATTACTCTTGTTAGATATATAATATAATAATTAAAAATGTTTATATTTTTAACTTATATTGTTATTTCCAATTTTGACGCATAAAAACATACACTAATAAACATCACAATTACAATAAAATTTTTCAGGTTATCCATAAAATATAAAATAAAAATATATAAGTGCTTGAAGTTAGTCAATAATCGAAATTAAAAAAAAACGGGACAAAATTTGTCATTGGTTAAAATTAAAGCGCGCGCGTAGTACGTTATTCAAATTTTTGATAAAATTATATTTAAAGGGTGTTTAATAAATAACGATATTGTCTTTATTTTTCATCCTAATAAATCAAATCAAATATCTTAAGAGCATTTATCGTATAACTGGTACATTAGTAAAACTATAGATTTATTGAATGGAATTAATAAATAAGAAGGTGGATATCAGAACATCCCATTAATGTTTTGTAGTAAATATCATTCGACAGTGACAAATTTCTATGAGAAGCTACGCTAGTCAATGGATCGGATCTTAGTAGTCGTGGTTAGATGTCACTAAGCCGCAGTACATGTTATTGTATAGTACAGTGAAATCTGTTAAAAGTTACCGTAGTTCTGTCTCAATTTCTCATAAAACACTAATAAGAGCGAGAAAGACAACCTAGGTAACTTTTAAGAGCTTTTATTGTAATTTATTACTATGGTGATGTTTCAATGACATCGAAATGTCAACACCGTACCACTTGTCGGTAAGAAAACGTTCCAACGTAACATTCTGATAGTCCATTTTTGTCAATTGGTGAACCGGAATATTGACATCAGTTCGACTAATATGAAATTATCAATAATTAATTATCATGACACTGAATTTTTAAATATAAAGATAATTAATGAAATTGTTTGTTATAATTAGATAATATTGATAAACTTAATAAAATAAAATAATTCATTGTTGATTGGACGACATTTTGTCTCAAAATAGTCAAAATTATTCTCGTGAAATATTATCACAATAATAAATTACAATAAGCGATAACGTTCGATTGTTGACTGACTTTTATTATTAAAATTTTTTGGTAGCAGGTGTCGCGGTAACACAACATAATAGTTTTCATCAAGTGACTTTATATATAGTTTATTTACTTTATTTAATTCACTTCTTTTAGTTGCCGTTGACGTGTGTGTAAGTAGCTTTAATAATTTTATCTTTAATTAAAGAAATTTAAGTAATAAATTCATAACAATATTTTCATTATTAGGATTAAAATATCTAATATCTTCTTAAAAATATAACAGACACCGTTTTGAAATATATTTAAGTAAATTTTATAATAGTTTCCAATGTTTACAATGTTGTTTTTTTTTTAAGTTTGACTTGAGCCAAAATGGCGGACCACCGGCGAGAATTAACGCGTAAGTAAATTAATAAAAATTAATACTAAAATCAGCAGATATCTGACAATTTTTTTATATTCGTGACGGACTTATTTATTAATTTTTTTTTTTAATAATAATTTAATAATTATAAAAATTTTTGAAATTGTTGAATACTATCGCACGGCTCATGATGCGAAGCAAAATCAAAAATTTTTTTGGCCTAATTTCAAGAACTATTTTTATTATTATGCCCTTGTTTCTTCACGAAATCAAGATATTTTATGTATACTATTGTCAAGATAATTTATTTAACTATTTCATTAGTATAATTGTTAATTGTAATTGACCCTGTCGAAGCACTATTTTTTTCCCATGAATTTCGGGAGTGGCATTAAGACTAGATTATTCGTGATTTTATTAATTTTAAATTTTATTTTTAACAGAGCAAGAACTTCAAAACACTTTCATGCAGTGGGTAGTAAGCCGTAGTAACAACTGGGTTCGAAACTTTGGTATTCATTACCAATATGGATACCAACAAGCTAATGAAAATGTTTGGTATAACCCATCAGCGCCAGTAGCTCCGCCTACAGCCTCGCCTACGATGCCACGAGCAGCTGCACTTGCAGCACTGATAGCGCCTCCACCGCCTCCACCGCCATCGACGCCACCACCGACTCCAGCAGAAAATTCAATGCAAAATCCGCCAGGACATCAGCAAGACGGTGGAGCAGAAAATTTGCCAGCCAATCCACTGCCGAATCCAGCAGCAGATCCATTGCCGAATCCACCAGCAGATCCATTGCCGAATCCACCAGCAGGTCCATTGCCGAATCCGCCAGCAGATCCATTGCCGAATCCGCCAGCAGATCCGCTGGTGAATCCACTGGCAGATCCACTAGCTAATCCACCGGCAAATCCTCTAGCAAATCCACCGGCAGCTCCACTAGCAAATCCACCGGAAAATCAACGAGAAAATTTGCTAGCTAATCCACCAGCGAATCTACGCGGATTTTTGCCGGGGAATTTGCATGCGAATTTTCCAGCAAATTTGCCAGCGAACCTGCTAGCCAATCCACCAGGAAGTTCTCGAGCAAATGCACAAGTGAATTGGCCAGCAACTACGGCAGGAAATTGGCTGCCAAATTCTCAAGCAAATTGGCTAGCTAATTCACAAGTAAATTCACCAGAAATGTGGCTGGCCAATTTACAAACGAACTGGCTAGCCAATCAACTCGCAAATTTGCCACAGACTCGACAAGAAAATTTGCTCGCGAATTTGCTTGAAAATATTCAAGCAAATCCGCGAGGACATCAGCCAGACAATGCCCCAACGAATTTGCCAGCGGATTTTCCATCAAATTCTCGAGCAAATTTGCGAGCTTCTCTGCCAGCGAATCCAACTGCAAACGTGTCAGCTAATCCGGTAGCAGATCCACCAGCAAATCCATCAGCGAATGATCCAGTGCAAGAAACTCTTCGAGTTGTGCCGAGAAACTCGCGAAATACATCGTCTGGCTTGAGTGCTGACGATATTGCAGCTGAGTGGGAACTGCGACCCCATTCGTCGGTTGGACCGACTGTCTCTTGTAAGTTTTTTAATACTTTACAACATTAATTATTAGATTCTACTTCAATTAATTAAATTAACTTTTTTTCAGCGGGATCCACTGGTCGCCACCTGGCAGGTGGAAGAGGTCACCGTGGGAATGGAAGGCGTGGTAGAGGGCGTGGTAAAGGACGTGGGAAATGGCCGTACAGCAAAGGGGGAAGTGAAGGAGGGAGAGGTGGAGGAGGGGGAGTCATACATTATCATAATTATTATAATATGAAAAAGTAAAATAAGAATGAAGACACATAAGAAAATCTATTTTTATACTTTTTCACAAAAAATAATAAAGGTGTGTCTTAAATGAACTTATTTAGTTATTTATTATTATTATTATTATTATTATTATTATTATTATTATTATTATTATTATTATTATGGGAAATATTCCCATAATGATATAGTAATGGTTCCTATATCACTATGGGAACTATTCCCATAATGGTATAGGAAGGATTCCTAGAATATTATAGGAATCATTTCTATACCATTATAGGAATCGTTCTTAAAATATAATAAAGATAGAATTTTCGTGCGGAGTGAGTTCAAAATAATTTTTATAATGTATACACGGAAAAAAAGTTGATTTTCATATGATAGCAACATAATTTTCTTGTAGCATGCAATAATAGTTAAAACAACCATAATAATTAAATAATAATAATAGGCCAGTGTATTTATATGATAAAATGAGTTTTTACTTGGAGTTGGGCCTTTTCAAAGTTTCATATCATTCTCACCAATAGTCAATTTATGATAATAAGAATTTAGGCTGCATTCGAAAATGCCCTGTGTCTAGATACATAATAAAGAAATGACCTTGTATCTGGTAAACTATTGACATTTTTAAAGATATAAGCTCATCTCGATGTTACACTCATCAAGAGCTTTCATTTGAATATCCACATGCATTTTGATATATTTTTCATATATACATATATATATAATATATATAAATATATAAAATATATGAAAAATTGATGTGGGTACTCAAATGAAAGGTCTCGATGAGTATAATGTCGAGATGAGTTTATATCTTTAAAAATGTCAATGGCTGCGTTCACGTTTACTAAGTTCTTGGCAGATCTTAGCATATTTTATAGCAACAACTTAAAGTAACTATATTATTTTTTCAAAAAATCTATAATAAAACAATGCAAGGTATATTTATTTATAGGTAGATAAAGCCAACCCTGCTCAGAATTTAGTAAACCTGATTGCGGCCAATAATTCACAAGATACAAGGTTATTTCTTAATTATTGACATTTTTAAAAATATAAGCTCATCCTGATATTATACTCATCGAGACCTTTCATTTGAGTACCCACATGGATTTTTAATATATTTTTCATATTTACATAAATGTAATATATATAAATATATAAAATATATGAAAAATTAATGTGGGTACTCAAATGAAAAGTCTCGATGAGTATAATGTCGAGATAGGCTTATATCCTTAAAAATTTCAATAGTTCACAAGACACGTACAAGGTTATTTCTCAATTATATGTCTAGAGATAGAGCATTTTCGAATGCAACCTAAATACTTATCATCATAAATTGACTGTCGGTGAGAATGATATGAAACCTTGAAAAGGCATAAATTCCAGTCAAGTCCTTTGCAATGACACTAAATTTCACTAAAAAAATCGATTTCATCATACGACTATTCAGAAGACAAAATTATTCTTATTATCTTAATAATATAAATTATTATTATTGTTATTTAATTATTATTGTTGCTTTAAGTATTATTGTCTACCGCATGAAAATCATATTGCTGTCATATAATGATATAGGAATAATAGTTCTCATAATTTTCTTTCCGTGTAGACACATAATTAAGAAATGACCTTGTATCTTGTAAATTATTGACATTTTTTAAGATACAAGCTTACTCACACTTATACATGGCACTTATCGAGACCTTTCATTTGAGTATCTACATTAATTTGTCATATATTTATATATATGAAAATTTTATCAAAATACAAGTGGGTACTTAAATAAAAACGAAATGAATGTAAGAACAGGATGAGCTTATATCTTTAAAAATGTCAATATTTAAGAAATTACAGTGCAATTTAACAAAAGTCATGAATTTAATAAAGCAAAATTTTATTTATTTATAGTTCACAAGTCAGAGCAGTCACATAGTGACTACAAGGCTGCTAGTTATTATAATAATTATTGATATCATTTATATTTTAATTTATAAATATAATATTAATATTAGTAAACAATATAATACATAATAAATAAAAAGAAAACTTTAACTATCAGAATGTAACTATATAGCTATGAAAATTTTATGTAATCATGTAAATTGTTGAATCAAATTTAATACTCCACAGCTCAATCATTCAATTAGAATTATAATTTTTATAATAAAAATAATAAATATTATAACTTTAATTTTGATCATCAATTAATATTATAACTTTAATTTTGATCTCATCAATTACGTATCATATTACGTATCATCTAAAGATTATGATTATTTGAAATCAGGTCGACTGAATGACAGTGCCACCTACAGGCAACGACCAAGATAACATAGACTTTACACACTGTTCAATGAGAATTCCCCACACCTTGAACAGCTGGTTTATCCGAAGAAAGTAAAACTCAAACAATGTTTAAACTGTTGTGTATTTAGTTTAGTTAATAAATATAATTAAATTAATAAAATATTTTTCAAATATACACATGGATGGTTGTATAATAATTTATTCTGTAACATTTCTTCTATTCATAGAATACTTGTACATTTTTAACTTAAAATTTGAACTTTTCCCGCGCAATATTAAAAATTCATAGATAAATGAATTTTTTCAGGCAGAGCTATAATCATATAAGAGGTCGTTTGTTCGTTAATTTTTGAGCTCAAATCCTGATAAAAAAATTAAAGTTTTCTTTTCTCATAGTAGCTAGTAGCATTAAAAAATTTAAAGTTACTAATCCGCGTAAACGCCTCCGATTTAAATTCATAAACTAAATTATCGATGAAAATTATACATTTCTTACATTTACAAAGAAAATTTTAACATTTTTTTAATAATAAAAATTTTTTATTGCACGCCTTATAAAGCGAAGCGTTGAGGTTGTGCTCTACTCTTGACATTTCGAAAAAAGCAGTTTTCTCGAAACTGAAATTGATTTTTTGTTATTTATATCGCACTTACAGGTTAAAATGAGTACACTTATGTCAAGTCAAATAATTTTTCAGGCACATAAAATATATTTCAATAATATAATTCAATAACATAATAATGTTAATAATAAAATAATAATAATATCATAATATATTTCAATAACATTTTTTTTATTTAACATAATAAATAATAACATTAAACATAATCTTTTTTGGACGTCCATGTATGAATGGGTGTATGTGGCAGGGAAATTGGTCGAAAAAATTATCGTACCGGAATAATTTTTTTTTAATTATCTAAAGTAACACACGACAGAATTTCTTAGTTAATATGAGCATTCAATTCACTGTCGTTAAATTATTATTTATAAAAAACTAACATATGACTGTAGATTTTTTTTGTATTTCTATCTATACACTTTATTATAGTATTTTTTTTCCTCACCTTGCAGTTATGGCGCCACTAAACCATAGCCGTGTTTTCTGTTTTTTATTATTTTGCTTTTTATATTTTATTTTAATCAATTTTATTGTAAAAAAATGAGATTATGAGGCGTGCACTTTTGAATTTTCCAAACTTTTTAAATTTATTACTGGAATACACATAAATTGAATAAATATAACAATTATTTTAGGAATAATAATAATAATGATAAGTATTATTATTTCTATTATTGGTAACATCAATTTATTATTACCGAAATTATTATTTTCAGTATTATAATTACTATTATTGTTGTTGTTATTATGATTACCAATATTATTTATTGTTATTATGATATTATTGTTAGTAAATGACACAATGTATCAAACGCATGATTATGTTACGTATTATCAAGAAATTAAGATTATTAGAAATCAGCTCGATTGAATAACAGTGCCACCCACGGGCACCGATCAAGATATCATAGACTGTACACACTGTTCAATGAGAATTCCCCACACTTTGAACAGCTGATTAATCCGAAGAGAGTAAAATTCAAACAATGTTTAGACTGTTGTGTATTTAGTTTAGTTAATAAATATAATTAAATTAAAAAAACATTTTCCAAACATACACATGGATGGTTGTATAATAATTTATTCTATAACATTTTTGTATTCATAAAATACTTGTACATTTTTAACTTAAAATTTGAACTTTTCCCGCGCAATATTAAAAATTCATAAATAAATGAATTTTTTCAGGCAGAGCTATAATTATATAAATGGTCGTTCGTTCTTTGATTTTAAATCTCAATTCCTGATAAAAAAATGAAAGTTTTTTTTTCTCATAGTAGCTAGTAGCAGTCAAAAAAATTTAAAGTTACTAATCCGCGTAAACGCCTCCGATTTGAATTGATAAATTAAATTATCGATGAAAATTATACATTTCTTACATTTACAAAGAAAATTTTAACATTTTTTTTTTAAATAAAAATTTTTTAATTTAGATTTAATACTGCAATACACATGAATTGAATAAAAATGACAATTATTTTAGTAATAATAATGATAATGATAAGTATTATTATTGCTATTATTGGTAACATCAATTTATTATTACCGAAATTATTATTTTCAGTATTATAATTACTATTTATTATTACCGAAATTATTATTTTCAGTATTATAATTACTATTATTGTTGTTGTTATTATAAGGTAACATCAATTTATTATTACCGAAATTATTATTTTCAGTATTATAATTACTATTATTGTTGTTGTTATTATAATTACCAATATTATTTATTGTTATTATGATATTATTGTTAGTAAATGACACAATGTTTCAAACGCATAATTATGTTACGTATTATCAAGAGATTAAGATTATTTAAAACCCACTCAATTGAATGACAGTGCCATCTACAGGCAACAACCATGATATTATAGAATGTACACTATCTTCAATGAAAATTCCCCAGACACTGTGTACGACTTCGTACATGTGCCACTCTACAAGCGTGTATTACATATAAAATTTGAATTTCCCGAGATTTGTAACACTCCGTATATACACGGTGCTGTTTGTGTACGGAGTCGTATCGTTTGCTTGCTGTACCTTATCCACATCGTTAGTTTATTATATAGAATTATATACAATACTTTCTCGCAGAGATCTCAAAGTAAATAAATATTAAAGGATAACTGCTAGCAATTTACCTTAGTTTATTAACATGTGTGTGAGCACCTTTACGATTCGAGTTTACTTTTTTATGGTACTAACTTAAGTCTCGCGTTGGCTGCATTTTTACCGCAAACTATCCCCTTGAAGATACAGTTTATGTAGATATAATTTCAGTGCGCCCTGGCGGCCGTAAATGTTAGCTGTGAATTACTTTTTTTACCTGTAGTTGCGTATCTATAGGAGGATTACTACACATTTTTATTTTATCTAGTCTGTGGCATGTCACTTTTTACATCAAAAAAAAGTCAGGATCGAAAAATGTGAGCGCGCTATAGTATGTGCTGATAAAATTTAATAATTTCAAGTAAATAAATGGTTATAAGTGAATATAAATTAATTAATACGGTAAAATAAGTTATGAATTACTGTTATAATAAACAAATTAGTGAAAAAAAGTACCGTAGAATTAAATTAATTTCGCAACCTCAAAAAACCGTTCTGCTTACAGTAAACACATTCGGTAGTCGGGCGCTCCGTTTGCAACGGGATTTTTGAACGGACCTTGGCGCCAGATTCTACCGAATCTGTAGATTTAACTTCTATTTTTTATTCACAATATTTAGAATTATATGGTCTATTAAAACGATCAAAAGCCGGCTTACATTTTAATGAAAGTTATGATTTGAATAAAATTATTATTAATTTTCTTTCAAATCAGGCCAGATCGTTTTCGATCGATTGTTTGTTTAGAATATATAATTTTATTTGTTAGAGTAGATTATTATGATCGGATGTCGGCTTACATGTTTATGTAAGTAATGATTTGCTTAAAATTATTATTAATTTTATTTTAAATCAGACCAGATCTTTAGTTTTAAAATAATTGTATCTCTTAATATTCCAACTTTAAATCGTAATTCATACTGCTGCTGTATACGACAATCTCTAATTTTTTTTTTTTTTTTTGTAGTTCTTTGATTGAGTTACTGCACGTATGGGAAGCGAAAGTTGTTTTTCGCTGCGACACCAGTACCGACTTCTGCTGCTGATAAAACTGCCCACAAATCTGGAAATTCCGAAAAAAAATAAGCGAGGATGTTTGTGAAGCCATTAGGTTGCATACACAACAAGATGCTGGGAGTCTATAATCAGGTTTAAAAAAAAAAAAAGCATATGCATTTATGGCTGCTTTTTCATTCTTATCAGTTATTTTTATATTCTTTTAATTAAAAATTTTCAAATTTATACGTAAAAGTAAAATATAGTGATCGAATTCCAACTTACATTTTGATGAAGTTCTAATTTGGATAAAATCATTTTTTATTTTATCTCAAACTGGGTCAGATCACGAGTTTTAAATTATTTTTAAAATAATAATAATATGTTGGAATTAATATTTAGATTTAGTTTTAGAGAAAAGTTATACAGGACAACGTCACTGTATTTAGTATACATGTTTGTATAGTACAGTTCACTGTAAAGTCCTGTATTCAGTATACCTGGTAATGTTTCCACTACCCCTTGACCCTTAATGAAGTAGTGGGAGTATACTGAGTACTGAGGGTACTAGATGTAACTAATAATTTTTCTGTTATAGTTAGTCGAGCTGAACTCCTTCACCATCAAGTGTCAATAGTCCAGATTTAGAATCATTTTATTGCAAATAATTTAACATTGTATTTCTGTCAATTTTAAACTCATTTAATATTGTTTGTTTAGTTAAATTCAGTGTGAAGCTAATTTAATATTAATTAATATACTTATTTTACTTTGTATCAATAAACAATAATTAAACAATACCTGAGTAGTTATTACTAACAGGTTATGGGCCCAGCACGCTTCCACTGCGCCAAGTGAGTGATAATTATTGACTGATACAGTGAAGTTATAAGTGTAAGAGTTTAAGTAGTTTATTATTTGCTAGGTGACTTTAGTTTTTTTTTTTTTGTTGGTAAAGTGTAATTGTGTTAAGATGGCTGAGAAAGAAACAGCAAATCTTACGAAGTTAGATGGAAAGAATTATCAAATGTGGAAATTTGGTATCTCATACCTGCTCGACTCAAAAGAGCTATCAGATTATATCGATGGAACTGATGTTGAACCAGATAAAGTTACCAAGCTGGTAGACTGGAAAATATGGAAGAAAAGTAGAGCACAAGCAATGGTATTGTTGTTGAGTTCAGTCGATCACGTCCTGCATCCGAACTTGATCAATTGTGAAAGTCCCAAAGCTGTATGGGACAAGTTGAAAGCTTTGTACGGAGAAACAAACGAAGATGAGATTACGAGTGCCTGGCAACGATATTATGCCTATAATATTGTTGACAGTGAACCAATAAATACTCAAATTGAAAAATTTGAAAGCCTTCACAAGACGCTTACAGATTCTGGTGAGAAGTTATCAGAAAAATCTATTATTTCGAAATTATTGAGTAGTCTTACGCCAAGATTCTCAGCTTTTCGAATGGCATGGGAGTGCACAGCTAAAGATGAGCAAAGACTTACGAATCTCACCGCAAGATTGATTCGTGAAGATAAGCGTTTAAAAGATTCAGAAGAAAGTGAAATGATGTCGGCGTTACAAGTCAATGTAATGAAGAAGCAGTTCCAGCAAATGAAAATGAGACAAGAAACACATCAAGAAAGACAAGAGAGACTCAACAAAGTGCGTGAATTGAAGAAAAGGACACGATGTCATAAGTGTGGCAAAATTGGACATTGGAAAAGAGAATGCACCGAACAGGCTGAAAATGATGAACATCAAGAAGTCATAGGTCGTGAATCCCAAACTTATATTTGTGAAGTATCGGCGTTGAATACAGAAGACTATATTCAAGAAAAAGACATCTGGATTGCAGATTCAGGGGCTAGCATGCACATGACGTGGAGAAGAGAAATTTTTCAAAATTTTAATCCTTCTGAAACCATAAAACATGTAAAAATCGCAGATGACAAACTTCTTCCAATATCTGGGACTGGAGTTGTAAATATTCTAGTAGATCTGAATAGAAAGGTTTATGATCGTACACTGTTAAATGTTTTGCTTGTACCGGGATTAAGAAGAAATCTATTTTCAGTGGGAGCCGTTAATAAAAAAAAATTTTCCTTTCATGCCTACGAACAACATTGTGAAGTGAGAGATCAGGATGGAGAATTGTCATCTGTAGGAGTAAGGTATGGCAATTTACACCGTATGTTGTTCAAGGTAAAAGACCCAGAATGTAATATAACTACAGTACCCACTTTAAAACTCTGGCATGAGAGAATGGGTCACATAAATATAAATAGTGTTAAAGAAACGGAAAAACTAAATGCAGTCGAGGGTTTAAAATTTAAAACTGATAAGAATGAAGATTTCTTTTGTGAACCATGTACTCTAGGTAAGCAAACAAGGAAGCCCCATAAAACCGTTATAAAAAACAGAAATTTTAAGCCTGGTGAAATGATTCACACAGATGTGTGCGGCCCGGTTAATACTGAGTCCCCGAGAGGGTCGAAATATTTTCTTTTATTTAAAGATGAGTGTACAGGCTATCGCGTTGTATTGTTCCTACGCCATAAATCAGAAGTGTGTGAAGAGTTTAGAAAATTTGAAAATGTAATTACTAGGCAAACTGGAAATAAGATTAAAGTGATACGATCAGACAATGGCACAGAATACTTATCCACGCAATTTAAAAGTTTTCTAAGTGAAAAAGGGATTATTCATGAATTATCATCACCATATATTCATGAACAAAACGGAAGCGCAGAACGAGAGATAAGAACACTAGTAGACAATGCAAGATCAATGATGATAGCGAAGAACGTACCAAAACAGTTATGGACTGAAGCAGTTAACACGGCTGCGTACTTATTAAATCGGACTGTAACTAAGAAAAGTCATGACAAAACTCCATATGAATGCTGGTTTGGATGCAAACCAGAAGTTCATCATCTTCGGACATTCGGTTCTAATGCTTATTTGAGTATACCGAAAGAGAAAAGGAAGAAATTCGATCCCAAAAGTCGTAAAATGATTTTTGTGGGATACGATAAAGAATCCAAAAATTATCGTTTGTGGGATAAAGAAAGCCAGAAGATTTACGTAAGCAGTGATGTTATTGTTTATGAAAAAGATGTGCTCGAGAATGGATCTGAGAAAATTGAAAACAATGACAAGGTATTTAGTTTTGACCTGAGTTTTGGGGACTTGGGCGAGGGTCACTATGATGTAGGAGGAGATGGCGAACCGGCAGTAATAGAACAGGTAGAAGAAAGAAGAGGACTAGGACCTCAACATGAGTTAGACGAAGAAAACCAACCAGGTGAAATTGAAGAAGAAGATGGAAGACAGATACCTCAACATGAGATAGAAGAGGAAAACCGAGAACAGCCAAATCAAGAGTATAGAGAAAGACTAAGAAATAGACTTATGTTGAACCAACCAGACTTATATGGTAATCCAGTAGCATATACAGCAGATATTGTTCCAAATAACTACAAGGAAGTGCTCTTATCACCGGAGTGTGAAAAATGGAAACAAGCTATGGAAGAAGAGATGTCAGCACTTCGTGAAAATAGAACTTGGGAATTGCAAGAACTACCACCGGGTCATCGAGCAATAGGCTGCAGATGGGTATTTGCCCTAAAAACTGGAAGTGATGGCCAAGTGATCAGGTATAAAGCAAGACTGGTAGCAAAGGGGTTTTCCCAGCAAGAGGGTATTGATTATTTTGAAACCTTTGCTCCGGTCGTTCGATATGAATCTATACGAGTTATTCTTGCACTGTGTGCTCGTGAAGATCTTGAAATAATGCAATTCGATGTTAAAACAGCCTTTTTGAACGGTGAGCTCGAGGAAACTATATTTATGGAACAACCAGAAGGCTTTAAAATTGAACCAGCAAATCTTGTATGCAAGCTTTTTCGAAGTTTATATGGACTAAAACAATCTCCAAGATGTTGGAATATAAAGTTTGTTAAATTTTTGAGGAATTTTGGATTTGAAAGTATAGATAGTGATAAGTGTGTATTTGTGACAAAGGTTAATGGACAGTTGATTTATCTTGTTTTGTATGTTGATGACGGACTAATTGCATCAAAATGTAAAGTAGTGATTAAACAAGTGCTAAACTATCTTGAAGGGGAATTTCAAATCACTATCGATGTTGGAGATCAATTTGTGGGCTTGGAAATTCAACGAAACCGGGAAAATAGAACATTGAAGATAAAACAATCGAACTATATCCGAAAAATATTGAATAAATTTATGATGGAGGATGCAAATCCAGTAAATATACCTGCGGAACCGGGATCAATACTGAGTAAAAGTGCAGGTAGTCAGGAAGCAAGGGACCCAGTTATACCATATCGTGAAGCAGTGGGTTCTCTATTGTTTGCCGCACGAGTAACACGACCAGACATTGAGTATGCGGTAAATACGGTAAGCCAGTTCGTTGACAATTACAATAATAAGCACTGGAGTGCTGTTAAGAAGATTTTTAGATACCTAGTTGGAACTATAGACTGTGGTATTATTTACGGAGCAAGTGGGAGTGATGAATAATTAGTTGGATACACGGATGCTGATTATGCTGGATGCCCGGACACAAGACGATCAAGAAGTGGCTATGTTTTTATGCTAAATAATGCACCTGTAAGCTGGTGTAGCAAGAAGCAAAATATTGTGTCTCTATCTACCACAGAGGCTGAATATATTGCACTAGGACATGGAGTTAAAGAGGCAATTTGGCTAAAAAGGATGCTGAAAGAACTTAGTATCCAGTGTGGGAGTGTTCCCATGAATGTGGACAATCAATCAGCGATCAAACTAGCGAGTAATCCTGAATTTCATAAAAGAACCAAGCATATTGAAGTTCGGTATCATTTTATTAGAGAAGTTGTTGAACAAGGGACAATTGTGTTAGCGTATGTAAAAACACAAGAACAGTTAGCAGACATTTTTACAAAACCATTACCGAAAGACCAACTACAGTACATTCGACAGAAACTTGGAATTGTGACTGATAAAATCTAAATAAGTGGGAGTGTTGGAATTAATATTTAGATTTAGTTTTAGAGAAAAGTTATACAGGACAACGTCACTGTATTTAGTATACATGTTTGTATAGTACAGTTCACTGTAAAGTCCTGTATTCAGTATACCTGGTAATGTTTCCACTACCCCTTGACCCTTAATGAAGTAGTGGGAGTATACTGAGTACTGAGGGTACTAGATGTAACTAATAATTTTTCTGTTATAGTTAGTCGAGCTGAACTCCTTCACCATCAAGTGTCAATAGTCCAGATTTAGAATCATTTTATTGCAAATAATTTAACATTGTATTTCTGTCAATTTTAAACTCATTTAATATTGTTTGTTTAGTTAAATTCAGTGTGAAGCTAATTTAATATTAATTAATATACTTATTTTACTTTGTATCAATAAACAATAACTAAACAATACCTGAGTAGTTATTACTAACATAATAATTAAGTAAACACGTCGATTGGATGCCAGCTTACACTATTGAGTGAGCTATAATATGGATTAAATGTTTTTATTTTACTCCATATTAGGCCAGATCATTAGTTATAAATAAATTTTTTATTAAAATTCATAAGTTATGATTTGATAAGTTATGATTTTAGTGAAATTATTTATCTTTTATGATGTCAGGCAAGATATGAGTAATAATTATATTTTTGATAGAAAAATTTTTAAATTGTATGTAAGTGTAGTTAGTAACGATCTAATGCCAGCTTTCATTTTCATGCAAGCTATAGTTTGGATAAATTTATTTTTGATTTCATCTCAAACTAGGCAAGATCATTAGTCTTTAATTAATCATAAATACTAATAATTTAAAATAATAGTAATTTAGAAATAATAATGATAAACTTTAAATTTGAACATGCTCATCGAATGCCGGCTCATACTGTTGAATGAGCTATGATGTGGATAAAATGTTTTCATTTTATTCCATGTTAGGCCAGATTATGAGTTATAATTATGTTTTTTATTAAAAATATTTGAAATTGTACATAGCACTAATTGATAGTGATCGAACACCAGCTTACATTACTATGTAAGTTATTTTTAATTTAATAAGATTTATATTTATATAAAGAAGAAGAAATTATAATGATCAGATGCCGACTTACATTTTTATGCAAGTTATAATTTGGATAAAATCATTTTTTATTTTATCTCAAACTGGGTCAGATCACAAGTTTTAAATTATTTTTAAAAGAATAATAATAATTAAGTCTAAATGTAAACACGTCGATTGGATGCCAGCTTACACTATTGAGTGAGCTATAATATGGATTAAATGTTTTTATTTTACTCCATATTAGGCCAGATCATTAGTTATAAATAAATTTTTTATTAAAATTCATAAAATTTATGGTAAAGTATACTATATTAATCGGATACTGGCTTACACTTTGATGTAAGTTATAACTTGAGAATAATTTATTCAACTTTTATCTTAAATTAGGTCAGATACTTACATTTAAATTTATTTTATATCGCAATTTTTGTATTTTTTATGTTGAAACAGAAGTGAAGAGTAGCGCGATTATTTTTAAATATTTTATTAATTTGATTATTAAAAAGTGTTCACTTTTAGATACATTTTTTTTTTCAAGTAACGAAATTGAATTTATCGCGCCTTTTTTTTTTAATGTAGTTAACTTTTTAAGAAGTTCGCGCTACTCATCATTTCTGTTTACTTACTTTTCTTTCTCGCCGTCAGATGTCATCAATAGTGGTGGCACCTGAAAAAAACATGGCGGCCCCCATGACGAAAGTTCTACTATCGTTACCCCTTAAGGAGGATAGACACTGTGACGAATCGAAAAAAAAATTTTTTTCGCCTTAATTATACGCACATCTAAAATTATGTGTATAAAATTTTATATCAAAATTTCACAAATTTTCGGAGTTATAGTTCTTTTAGTGAGAGCAGGTAGACCGACCGTCTTCGTTCAGTGCTCCGACGAAAATGTGGAATTCACTTTTAGGGCTGTACCATTTAGCCGGTTAAGTCAGCTAGAAATGTTAGCTAAGTTAATTAGCTAGCTAACTGATCAGCTTAGCTAATTAGCTAAGGGCTAACTGGCTAATTTTCTTTTTAGCTATTTTATGGTTTCTTATTCACGGGCAAGTTTAAAAAATAATATTACTGTTTTTTTATTGTAAAAAAACAACGGCAGTGATGTCTATAAAATACTATTTCGTATATGTGCGTGGTTCTATCCCCAATCACCGGATTTTAAAAATCATATTTTTTTATTTAAGATAGTTCCAGCATGACGAAACCACTTTTCAACAATTTCAACTGAAATTTTTTTTACGGGTTCAGAATAGCTTTATATATAAATTTCTGAAATTTCATCATTTTTGACCGTTTAGATCGCGAGATATTTAAAGTCAAAGTTGGCGATTTTGAGGATCATGTTTCATTTAAAGTATGTAAAATGTCCGGTCTCTCCAACTATTTTTAACTTCCCAGTAGTGATATAAGGGGGATTCCAGGACCGGTTACCATCGGAGCAGAAGTTACCGACCGAGGGTAAATATGGTCGAGGATTTTTGTCTTGACTATCGTACATCTCGGGATCTGTTTTACCGATCGAGTTTTCGCGGGAAGTCGGGCATTTCGTGGATGTCGGGGGAATTTCGTGGAAGTCAGCCATTTTGTTTTTTCGTGGAAGTCAGCCATTTTGTTTTTTGTAGAAGGCGACCATTTTGTTTTTTATAAAATTTTTGTAGAACTCAGCCATTTCGTGGAAGTCAGCCATTTCGTGGAAGCCAGCCATTTTGTTTTCTTTGAAATTTCGTGGACACCCTCCTCCCCTTCCTTCTTATATTAGTTGGAAAAAAATGACGTGACTTTCTCAGAATTTTTGACCTTTCTGTGGAATCGATGACGTCATTTAACAAGTTTGAACTTGTTTTCGACCAATCTGAGTGAGGCTTGAGTAGTGGGGATACTGCTCTATAATTACGTTTATTCCTAGAATTTTCGACTTTTTGTGGAATTTTGACATCGTTCAACAAGTTTGAACTTGTTTTCGGCCAATCAGAGTGAACTATGTGTAGTGGGGATAGTGTTATATAATCTAGCTTAGATTTCACAGCTTCACAGTCTCTCTGAAGAAATCACTGTGTTAATACATATAACCTAAAAATTAAACACTCTTCATAAAGTTTATCTTTAATAGTGTTTGTGCTGTTGAATTTTATGTGAAAAGACAGGTTAGTATTTTAATGAGCTTTTTATAATTGTCAAATTACGTCTTTGTTTATGTCTTTAATAAATTATTGATTATTAATTATTAATAATAGTCTCATCATTTCTAGAACCATGGATTTTGAAGCAATCAACAAGGTTAATCATCTCGAGGATTTTTCACCAACCAAGAAGCTTACTGATTTGACTATCAATAATGAATACCGAATTTCTGAATTGAAGATTGTCAATACAAAATTTGGACCTCGTATTATTGCAACTATTGATGATCTTTATGTTGTATTTTTGCCTGCTAGAACGGCAAAATTATTAAAAGATCCTGAAGATATAAAAAAATTCAACGTAGCAGCACTGAAAAAAGAACTTTTTTTGTTGTATCTTGGTGGTCAATTTAATAATTTTGAATTTTTACGTAAAAATTTGAATTAATTTTTGTACTTAATAACTCTGTAGATAAATACTCTTGAATAATAAATTTTAATCTACGATAAAAAATTCCGTTTGTTTTCATTCATTAGTTCAAGTTTTATTCACTGCGCATGCGCAAAGAGCAAATTAAATGTATGCGCATAAGTAAAAAATTGTGAACATGATTATTTTAAAGAAATAGCAGATGTGCGCCTAATCAAAAAAGGATCATGTGCATGCGTTCATAACCAGAAAGAAATCCATGGGCATGCGCACCAGCATGCGATCAAACTTTGATATTTTTTTTTTTTTTAGTTATTCTTACTTGGTTATTTAATTATTAACTTAATAAACTATTTAATAGTTAACTTAATTAACTATTTATTTATTTATTTACTTAATTAACTATTAATTTATTAACTTAATTAACTATTTAATTATTCACTTAATTAATTATTTATTTAATATTTACTTACCTTATGTGTATTTTAAAGAGAAGTAAAAGGAAAGGAATTATTGATAATAAAAATTTTTATAAAAATGATAAAATTTTATTAAAAACACTTACATAATTTTCTTAAAAATAGTGAAAAAACTAATCTCTCTCTTTACTGTCATATTTCTAAAAAATAGTTAAATACTGAATAAATAAAATTCAAAAAGACAGTAAAGAGAGAGAGATTGGTTTTTTATCACAATAATTGCATGTACTCCAGAAACTAAACTCTTTTATTGAAATTTTTTAAGTAATGGAAACAATAATAATAATAGTACTTTAAAAAATTTCAATAAAAGAGGTTAGTTATCTCTTTCCGACTAGATTGATTTTTTATATTTAATTGTTGATTTTATGTTTTATTGATTTATTATTATTTTATGAACTGTTGATTATTAATTTTTATTGACTTTTATTAATTGTTGATATTTTTATTTTATTTTATTGATTATTAATTTTTATTGATTATTTTTTATCGATTGTTTAGATTTTTGATTATTATTATAATTTAATGAACTGATGATTATTAATTTTTTACTTATTTTTATTAATTTTTATTAATTGTTGATTTTTTTTATTTTACTATTCACTTTTGATTTATTACTTGTTGATTTTTTATATTTAATTGTTGATTTTATTTTTATTGATTACTATTATTATTATTATTATTATTATTATTAATTGTTGACTTTGTTTATAAAATTTTAAAAAAATTTTTAAAGAAATAAATGTAAGTTAGATAAAATATTAAATGACCCTTGTTGCTGCATGTTGTATATTTGCTGTTGCAAATTATTCAAAACTCTTAAAATGTCTTGAAGAACGTTCTGTTGTTGCATGTGTTGTGGCTCATCCTGATATTGAATCATTAGTGGTTGATCCTGGTGTTGAATCATTGATGGTTCATCCTGATGCTGAATCATTTGTGGTTGATCCTGGTGTTGAATCATTGGCGGTTCATCCTGATGCTGAATCATTTGTGGTTGATCCTGGTGTTGAATCATTGGTAGTTTATCCTGGTGCTGAATCAGTTGGGGTTCATCCTGGTGCTGAATCAGTTGGGGTTCATCATGGTGCTGAATCATTTGAGGCTCATCCTGGTACTGAATCAGTTGTGGTTCATCCTGGTGCTGAGTGTTGTCTTCCGCTTCTTCAGGATCTGAAGAAATTAATCCTCTCATTCTTTCCTCACATAGCGGAGGTAAAGACAGAATATCGATCGCAGCATCCCAATCATCATCATCATCATTGGCCTCATCATCATAACGAACATCATCATAACGATCATCATCGTAGCCCTCATCATCATCGTCATCATCCTTTAAATCATCATCATCATCGGTATCCATGGACTCATCAGTATCAAAGTCCATAGAGTCATTTGCATCGGGCTCAGAAACATCATTATTAGCTGTGTTGCTAGGAAACAAGCGTCTAACAATTTTGTCACACATAACATAACGTTCAGGATTAGGGATGTCTTCGTCATCTCCTGGTATTCTGAAGTACCAGAAAAAATTAGTATTATCAATACTCAGGATAGTCGCGTCCTTCTCAACCGTAAAGACATTTTGGTCAATTGATAAGCCAGATTTAGTAATCAAGCTAATCTGCTCGTTAATTGACGATGTGATCTTTTCCGTACTGCCTGCTTTCTCCATCCAAATTCTTGGATATACCAGGCAGTACAACGCAGCACAGTGACTTCGGCAAGACATTTTTTCAATCTGAAAAAATAAATCAAAAAATAAATGAAACAAAATATAGAAAAATTAAACGAAAAAATAAAATTTATTTTTAATTAATTAATTTCTGATTTTTTTAATTTATTTCAAATTTTAAAAACAATTTTGAAAAATAAAATTTTTAAAATTTTTAAAAAATAAAATTTTAAAAAATAAAATTTTAAAAAATAAAATTTTAAGTAATTAAAAAAATAAAATTTGAACAAATGAAATTTAAAAAAAATTTTTCAAATAAATTAAAAAGTTAATTAAAAAATTTATTAAAATAAATTTTAAAAAATCAAAAAAAAATTTTTAAAATAAATTTTAAAAACAATTTTAAAAATAGTTTTACGAAATAAATTTTATAAAAATCTAAAAATAAATTTTATAAAAATCAAAAAATAAATTTTAAAAAATTCAACAAATAATTAAAAAAATTCAACAAATAAAAAAATTAAACAAATTAATTGTTTGAAAATCAATTTAAGAAAAAAATCACAAAAAAATTTTTTTTAATTCAACAAACAAAAAAATTCAACAAATAAATGAAAAATTTAACAAATAGATTTTTAAAAAAAATCAATTGAAAAAAATCAAAAAAAGAATTAAAAAAAGTTGAAAAAAAAAAAATTTAAACAATAAAAAAATTTAAACAATAAAAAAAGGAATAGAATTTTTATTAAATAAGGAAATCAATCACTCAACAATAAATAATAATAATTACGGGATCGATTACTT